ATTTCTATACCCTTTCCTCAATTTTGTTGTGAACCAAAAAACTGCTCAAAAAATATAGTCTTACTTTTTAAAAAGAAGTAAACTATTGGAAATGCATCTATTAATGAGATGAGTAAAATGTTATGTTTTAATTAAAGGAGATTTTGATAATTAAAACGAAAAGAAGAAAAGAATCCTTTCATCTGCCACCAAACCCTGAAACGTGTCCCTGGAAGGAAAAGCACACACAGACTTTGGAGTAGAACAGACCTTGGTTCAAACCCCAGCTCTGCAATTACTAGCTATGTAACTGAGCAAAAGACTTAACCTGGATATGAACAGTATTGACCTATTATTGTGATGATTTAATGACATAACGTACAATCTGATAATCCTCAGAGTTTCCCTCACATACCCATTCCTCAAACCCATAATGGGGATCCCCCTCATGAATTTAAGTGGCCAAACAATGGTGACAGGAACCAAGTTGTACCATCTAACCTTAAATCATTCAAGGATTGAAGTCAGGGGAACAGTGAAGCAAAAAGCAGCAGCAATATCTTTTTTTTTTTATTTTATTTTTTTAATTCCTTCAAAAGATTCAAAGGAAGTCCTGGTTCCAGTTGCCTACAAAAGGCTATGTGCCCAGGAAGCTAAACATTTTCATTCTGAAAATAAATGGTTCCTAAGGAGTACAGGCCACAGGGGGTAAACTTTGGCCTCCTGAAACAAGGGGTGGCTTCTTTTCAACTACAGACTCAATATCTGGAGTGGGGAGGGGGGGGGGGCGTCTCAGAGCACTTAGTCCAGGCTCAGGCACAAACTTGGTTTTGATTTTTAAATGTCTCTTTGTGGGTATTGTTGCAAAAGCTAGATGTGGAGTCTAGAAAAGGAGAGGTCACGAGGTATGGTCTCCACAAAATGAAACTGGGGCAGCTCTGCACCATTTCCTTATCTCCAGAATACACTATCCGTGAGAAGATGTCATTAACTTGATAACATATAGTATGAGAAACCTCAGTTTCCAAAGAGAGAGGTCACAAAAGCACACAAGGCCCGCTGAAAACCCAGGATGGAAAAAGCCCCCTCCATACAAAACAACAGTGTACCTTAGAATGCTTAGAATCAATCATCTCAAGACACAAAGCTTGTGGAAATTTAGATCATAATGAAGGTGGTGTTCAAACTGATGGGAAACAGGGAGGTTAGTTAATAAAATAGCTTGGGACAACTGGCTCATGATTTTCAATACAAAGAAAGCTGTATTCTTACCCTTACTCCTTAAACCACAATAAATTCTAAGTGCATTAAAGATTAAAATGTTAAACAGAAATTATAAAGGTACTTAAAGAAAAGATGGGAACCCTGGCCAGTGTGGCTGTGTTATTTGGGCATCGTCCTGTGCACAGGAGGTCACCGGTTCGATTCCAGTCAGGGCACATGCCTGGGTTGTGGGCTCCATCCCCGGTAGGTGGTGTGCAGGAGGCAACGAATCAATGTTGTGCTCTCACATGATGTTTCTCTATCTCTCTCCCTTTCCTTTCCTCTCCCTCTAAAATTCAATAAACTATTCTTTAAAAAATAGAAACATAGGCCCTGGCCGGTTTGGTTCAGTGGTTAGAGCGTCGGCCTGCGGTCCAGAGAGACCCGGGTTCGGTTCCTGCTAAGTTGCAGTTTGTCCCCGGCCCTGGTTGGGTTGTGCGGGTGGCAACCACTTGATGTGTCCCTTTCACATCGATGTTTCTCTCTCTCTCTCCCTCCCTCCCACTCTATCTGAACAAAAAATGGAAAAATGTCCTCGGGTAAGGATAAAAAAAATAGAAACATGGGAGTATTTTTTTAAATCTCAGAGTAGAGAAAACATTTCTAAGCATGATGCAAAATCTAAGCTATAAAGCGAAAATTAGATCAATTTGACTATTTAAAAACTGTTTTGGAGGATTCAAAAAATGCAATAACTAAGTTTAGAGGCAAACTTCAACCTAAGAAAAATAATATTTTAAATGCATACAAAGGCCTAATCTCTTTAATGTAAGAAAAGTCCTTAAATTCCCTGATAAAAAACATACAGTCCAATAGGAAAATGGGCAAAGGATATAAACAGAAAATTAATAAAGAAAAGAAATACAAATGCTAATAATCAAATGAAACCAAGATTAATCTCACTCACAATTAAAGAAATGCAAATGAAAACAAGATGCCAGCTTTTAAAAGATGTTCGACACAGAAATGTTTATATTTAAAATGGAAATAACTGCAAACCCATCAATAGAGGACAGTTAAATAACTATAATTAAATACCATATACTTATTACAACTTAAATGCTGATTTCATCTATACTGATAACATTTAAAGCAGTCTGTAGAATATGAATGAGTAGGAGAAAAAGGATTTTAATCTATGTAGCAAGATTCCATTTATCTAAAAGTATACATTTGTATCTAATTGTGAATAAGTGCATAGAGGTATGTCTGAAAGAAAATTCACCAAAATGACCACAATGATTGCCACTAGGTGGAGGGATTTCAGGTGATTTTTAAAATTTATTTCAGCCCTGGCCAGTTTGACTCAGCGGTTAGAGCGTTGGCCTGCGACCCGGGTTCAGTTCCCGCTAAGGGCACGTACTTAGGTTGCAGTTTGTCCCCGGCCCTGGTTGGTAGTGCGGGTGGCAGCCACTCGATGTGTCCCTTCACGTGGATGTTTCTCTCTCTCTCTCCCTTCCTCTCTCTCCCTCCCACTCTATCTGTACAAAAAATGGAAAAATATCCTCGGGTGAGGATAAAAATAAATAAATAAATAAAAATTTATTTCAGAATCACAATATCCTTTTAATAATCTAAAATGATCCAGGCTCACAGAGCAGAGTGGAGAGAGGAACACCTCAAAGAACCCAAACATCTGGTCTTGGACATCATGCTTCTCTAGCCCTTTGAAGCCCTTCCTGGAAGAGGCAGGGAGGAGTACAGCAGCCAGCTGGAAAGAAGAGGAAGACAAAGCAACAGCCTAAAGAATTCCCTGGTGCTGCCTACTGTGCGGTTGGTCGATGAGCCAACATGACTCACTCCTCTCCTCCCACCTTCACTCCTGCACTGGCTGGAACCTTCCCACACACAGCCATATGTTAGGACCCTAGGAAGGCTAACTCAAATGCCAAGCCAGAAGGAATGTTAGAGATCATCCAGTGCAGCATCTTTCATTCAGCAAATGAGGGACCTGAGGACCCGAGAAGGGAGGAAACTTGAAGGGAACCAAAGCATCTAGTACCCACGACTCTTATCTGGGTCCCCTCCTATGCTCATCCTTCCCTTCCCCAGGCTGTCCCCTCTGGCTCCCTCACAAGGTCTCATTTCCCATTTCCATCACTTGCTTCTCTACCTATCAGACTTCTTAAGCCTCTTTTCTCCTCTGGCAGTCCTAATTGGCTCTGTGATAAGGGAAGGAACTAGACTAGAATTGTTCTGACTCAAAGAATGGCCTAGAAAGAAGATTGTTATGGCCATCACTAAGTCAAAACCTACACAGCCATTCTTCTGTGTCCAATAGCAATACAGAAGCTAGATCACCAACTTATACTATACACAAGAATAAACTCAAAATGTATAAAAGACATAATTGTGACTCATGAATCCATAAAAATCCTAGAAGAAAATACAGGCAACAAAATTTCCGACATCACACTCAGCAAAATTTTCACTGATACAATGCCTAAGGCAATAGAAACAAAGAAAAAAATGAACGCTTCTGCACAACAAAAGAAACAACCATCAAAATGGAAAGAGAACCCACTATATGGTAGAGCATAATTGCCAATGATACATCAGATAAGGGGCTAAATTCCAAAATATACAGAGTACTCATACAGCTCAACGAAAGAAAAAGAACCCAATTAAAAAATGGGTAGAGGACCTAAACAGACACCTCTTCAAACAGGACATACAAATGGCCAGAGACATATGAAAAAATGTTCAACGTCACTAATCATCAGAGAGATACAAATTAAAACAACAATGAGGTATCACCTCACACCTGCCAGAATGGCTGCCATCAACAAATCATCAAACAAGCGTTAGCGAGGATGTGGAGAAAAGTAGTACACTGCTGGTGGGAATGCAGACTGATGCAGCCACTATTGAAAACAATATGGTGTTTCCTCAAAAAATTAAAAATTGAACTGCCATGTGACCCAGTGATCCCATTTCTAGGAATATACCCTAAGAAGCCTGAAACACCAATCAGAAAGAATACATGTACCCCTATGTTCATAGCAGCACTATTTATAATTGCTAAGATCTGGAAACAGCCCAAGTGTCCATCAATAGATGAATGGATAAAAAAGCTGTGGTACATATACACAATGGAATACTATGCAACCGTAAGAAAGATCTCTTATCCTTTGAGACGACATGGAGGGACCTAGAGAGTATTATGCTAAGCGAAATAAGCCAATCAGAGAAAGACAAATATCACACGATCTCACTTATTTGTGGAATATAATGAACAAAACAAGCTCAGGAACAAAATAGACCCAGAAATATGGAAGTAGGGTACAGACTGACAAACCTCAGAAGAGGTGCATGTCGGGGGAGGGAAGAGATAAACCACAGAACGTATATGCATGTATGTGTAAACAAGGACATAGACAATAATGCTGGGGGTGGGGGGATTGGGAGGAGGGTGTCAATGGGGGGAAAAGAAGACACATCTGTAACAAAAAAAATAAAATAAGCAATACAGTCCAAACCATGGTGTGAAACAAGAAAAGGGTAGAGGGAAGAGCTCTGAGGTATTCTCAATCCTCCCTGGTGACACTGGAAATTACCTTGAAACTCTTAAGAAAGGAAGAGCCCAGAAGGGAGAGGTACCAGCAGATTCAAGAGGAACCAGCAGACTCCATCTCTTAGGTCATAATGCAACCAAGATGCAGGGCAGTCATGGGTGAGGGAAGACTTGGAGGCAGGAGTGGAAGGCCACTTTCTCTGGACACTGCCCTGACTCTTGGCATGAATGGGCTGGGGCTTACCTTGGGTAAACTGATTGGAGTCCTAGGCTTGGTCCTCGGGTTCTTAATCAGGAGTCTCTGATCCAGAGGGAGCAGATGATATTTCATGGCTTCGATGAGGAAGTCTTTACAGGTATTATTATTCTTTATCAAAGCTTCTTCTTCAACTGTCTGGAGGTAATAACCCACAGGTGATCCAGGAGCAGAGCCTGGCCACTTTTGCCACACTGTCACCCCGGGCTGAGTCATTCTGCACTCCCATACTCATTCATTCTCACAGCACATCACTGCAGACCTCAGGAGAAAAGTCCACAGACTTACAACTTAGTGGTCCCCTCCTCCACTTCAAGAGCACTGAGAAGTAAGTGATTAAGCTTGGGCATCAAAGAAACAGGGATACAAATCCCAACTCTACCACTTAACTCCTCTAATCTCAGTCTTCTCATCTATAAAATGGGCATATTAAAATTAACCACAACCTCACTGATTGTGTGTCTTCACTTGTTTGTTTTGAAGCTTAAAGTGAGATCATGTAAAACAGAGACAATTAGTTGTCCTAAAAGCCTTTTTCCACTTTCCACCTGGTTTGAATGCATCATAATGTTTATGGCAAATCGTCATACATTTGAGAAGAGGAAAGCGAGGAAGAGGGCGGAATCCATCAGCCAACTCTTGGAGGCATGAAATAAAACAAGGTGACTATCAAGAAGAAGAATTCATATCCATATTCTTAAGTGAAATCTTCAGGGAGAAAACTGGCCAGTGAGGCACTCTCTAACCGAGCAGTGATATCAGAGAAGAAAAAAATGTCCTGCACAGGAGTCCCACCTACTAACCTCACCGTGGACCCCATCTAAGCTGGGACAATAGCTTTTTTACCTCTTATTCCAGAGTTATGGACCTAAGCAGGTGCTCAGTAAGTATAAGCCTAGCATGAGCAAGGCCAAGGATGAAACCATTCTGGTGCTCTCTCAAATCTCTACCATTTGGTCCAGGTCAGGTTGACAGAGCTAGGCATATCTGTAAGGGGTGGTGTGGTCTCCACAGGCCACTTCATTGTTTCTTGGCTGAAGTGTGTGGAATCTGTTAGGAAAGGTCAATTCCATGCAACAGCTAAATGACTGAATGTCTCATAGTTGCAATGCCCAGTGCTGGACCCCGGGAAGAAAATGATGAACAAGACCAGGGTTCTGACTCTGATGTGCTCATGTCTCGTTAGAGAATAAGGAGAACCTCCCCACCTCAATTCTCTCAGCCCTCAAGCTGCTCATGCACAAGGCCTGACTGAACCTCTCCTGGGTCCCCACCTATAACTAGGAATGAAAATGTGACCAGAGCCTCACCTGCTGGGCAGCGTTGGAGCTAGCAGGAAAAGAGGGATTGGTGAGACAGGACTCTGTCGCCACTCGGCCCTTCCTTCCCCAGAGACAAATCCTAAGAATACTTCCAAGAACACTCTGTCTTCTTGGAAGGTTTCTTTGCCCTCCCACTGAGGGTCTGAGCCAGGTTGGAGCAGATCATAAACTTTTAGGGTCAGTTTAAAAAAAGTAAAAAGGTGAGAGAGGATATCTAAAAAAGCTTGGGAAGAAAGAGAAATGCATAAATAAAATTTCTCCCAAAAAACTCATTCAGCTTGAATGAAACACTCCCCTAGAGAGTTAGTACTTCATGGGTACAGAGTTTCAATTTATGGTGATGAAATGGGTGTAGAAATGGATATGGTGATGGTTGTACAGCATGGTGAAGGATACCACTAAATTATCCACTTAAACATGGTTAAAATGATGAATTTTATGTTATAAATTTTATCACAATAAAAACTTACTGTAGAGATATAGCATGTTACATACTTAGTAAAATATTTTAAAATATTCAATAAAAGCCCTGGCCGGTTTGGCTCAGCGGTTAGAGCGTCAGCCTGCGGTCCAGAGAGACGCAGGTTCAGTTCCCGCTAAGGGCATGTACCTCAGTTGCAGTTTGTCCCCAGCCCTGGTTGGTCGTGCGGGTGGCAGCCACTTGATGTGTCCCTTTCACGTCGATGTTTCTCTTTTTCTCTCTCTCTTTCTCTCTCTCCCTCCCACTCTATCTGAACAAAAAATGGAAAAATGTCCTCCGGTGAGGATTAAAAAAATAAATAAATAAATAAAATAAAATATTCAATAAAAGCCTAATAAATGTTAACTATTAAAAACAAACAAACAAGGAAACACCTCCCCAAGAAGTCAGACAGTGCTGGTGCAGGTCTGCCTAGGGCTTTCCCTTTCTCCTTCTCCTCCTTCTCCTCCTCTATGATTGCCCATCCCCAGTGGGTTACACCAGTTTGAAGTTTCAAGGTCAAATGAGTGTTAATGAAATATCCTCTTCTTCCAGAGGTAGACTGAAAAGAGCCCTTTTTAAAAAGGGGTCTCACACAACAATTCTCATGTCCATTGCCTCTGACCCCTTCTTCTCCAGATCTAAACCCTACTTTCCCATAATAACCCAGGAACTATTTCCCAGAGTCTTTGTTAAGTTTCGGTTGTAGACACCTGCTGGAGGTAGTGACTAGGGGTCTCTAAGGCCCCTTTAGCTTCCTCTGGAATCCAGGCCCACAGGCTGCCCTTCCTCCTTGTGGAAGCAAGACTGTGCTGGAGGCCAACCATTCACTTCTTCCTCTGATCAGTTTCCCACAGGATAGTGGAAGGTCTGACTGACACTGGGAGCTCTGGCTGGTTCAATCCCTCTGCTTAGGGGACCTTTACCACAGGAAGGATATGCTGCCACCAGGTGGCAGTGGTACCATTCAAAGTACAAAATGCAGGGGTCAGCCCCCCCGAGAAGAGGTTCAGAGTTCGGAGAACATTTCCCTGACATTAGGCCTGTGGACTATAGTGTCATGAGCTGAGACTTTACAGTGCTTTCAGGGCACTGTTGCAGCTTGAATCACTGAACACTGCTGCAGGTTTACAGGTTTACATGGGTTATCTCATTCTGTCCCCAAACTATCCTAGACAGGCAGGTGCAATTTTTACCAGAAGAGAACACCGAGGTTTAGAGAGGTTGACTATTTCTCCACGTCAGACAGCTGAGAAGTGACAGAGCTAGGCTTCTGGGCTGCTAAGCCTCCTCTCATCTTCCCTTCACTCTTTCCATTCCCTCCAGGGACTTGTCAGGGACAGCTGAGGGCTAGCTCACTGCATCAGAGTTTTGTTTCATTTATATTATTTAAGTTTTAAACTCTGCCTGATTGTAAGAGTATATAAGGTAATTTACGGTACAAAATAATCCATGTAATAAACAGAACAGAGAGCATTGAAGGTGGCAGCCTGCTTAGTGCAAGGTGTGTGTGTTAGAACCAGACAGACTTGGATTCGAATCCTACCCTGCCTCTTACCAGCTGGTGACTCCAGATAAATCTAACCTCCCTAAGCCACAAGGCCCAAATCTGTAAAAAGAGGGCTATAATCTCTGCTCATGGGGTTATTATAAGAATTAAATGAGAAAACATAGGGTACCATGTTTTCAGAGGAGGTAGATACAATATGCATTCCAGGCACCTGTGAGAGTTGGTTTATCAATCCCAAATTGGGCTCGGAGTGGCCTAAAACTAAGGGGGGAAAAGCATTATGGAAGTGATCCTTCTTACATGGTCCTCTACAATAAAAGCAGCCAACTTATTGAACATTTGTTTGGCCCAGCTCCATGCTAAACACCTAACTTACATATTTACAACTCCTTTGGTCCCCACAACTCTGATGAGCTCTCTTATAATTTCCCTTCTATGGAGGAAGAAATTGAGGCTTTAAGAGGTTAACAAGTAGTAGAGCAGGAACTGAAACCTAAGTGTCTTATTCTCAAGCCAATGCTCTATGCCTTACACTACTATACCTCACACTTAACCCTAGGGGTTGATGCCCTCAACCCGAACAGGAAACATTTCAACCACTCCTCAACCACTCCAGACAACCAGGGTTGCCCACTGCTTCTCCTAGAGGCCTGGGTGAGCAGGGAAGAGCTTGGTTCTTTCTTCACACTGGACTCACCTGGACTAGGTAATCCCTAGGTAGAAGAGGGAGACGGACATGTTCCATCAGCTTTGCCATGTGCTCTAAACGAGTTTCTTTCTCATAATTGATCCACGAAATCACAGCTTCAAATACCTATACAGAAAATCAACACAGATAACTTCACCAAAGAGACAACAGCTTTCAAACAATTTCCTCAACCTGAAAAAAAGAACAAGAAGTTAAAAGTCATCCACAAATGTGCTTAACTTAAAGTTCAATATTTAAAAGGAAACAAACATAGAAAGTTTTTGTTTACTAGCTGATGTAAGAGAGTGATCACACACCCACACACATACATTATAATAAACCTGCTTTCCCACATGTAGAATCATCAATTTTCATTGCAAAATAAATATCAGTTCCCACAGATATTTAAGAGTAGACATACAGAGCAGTGACTCTGAACCACATTTTAAAGACTGCTCAACAGGACCAGAAGCCCTGGGAGCAATGTCATCTCACTATTCACGGATGCCCTTTCCTCATTAATCTCCCATGTTTAGTTAACACAGAATAAAAATAGTAGGAATACCCTCTGCCAAAAGTTGATGGTAATGGTAAATGGGACACTGAACAGCAAAAATTTCTCCTTTGGTTTAACCTCTCCTTTGAGAAGAGGTTTCATTTCTACACAAATCAAAACTGGGCTTGGAACCAAAAAAGAGACTCTATGGTTTGGGTGTTTGCCTCACTCAAGGATAAGTCCATGCCCCAGCCAGTGTGGCTCAGTGGTTGAGCATCAACCCATCCACCAAGAGGTCGCCGGTTTGATTTCCGGTCAGGGCACCCGCTGGAGTTGTGAGCCAAATCCCCAGTGAGGGGCATGCAGGAGGCAGCCAATCAATGTTCTCTCTCACTCATGTTTCTATCCCTCTCTCCCTCTCCCTTCCTCTCTCTCTAAAATCAATAAAGAAAAAAAAAAAGATAAGTCCAAACTCAAACTCTGCACCACCATATACACAAAGGAAGATAAAATCCAATGTCAGTAAGGTTGTGGGGAAATAAGAACTGTTTGTGGAAACGTAATTAATATGGCTTGTTAAGGGGAGGGAAGAATTTGTCAATATCAATCAAAAATTTTAATGTGCATACTTTTTTTTACCAAAAAATAATGCTTTGAATGCTCTAGCCTACAAAAATACTCACAAAAGTGGTACAAGAATGTGTTCTAAGATGGAGATCTTTGCTGCACTTTTTTTTTTTAACAGGGTAAAGAGGGAAACAACCCAAAGTCCACTAGTGGAGAAATGATTAATCTAGTATCCATAACATGGGATATTTTCAGCTGTTAAAAAGAATAAAACTAAATACCGTACGCTAGAAAGCATGGAAGTGCTCAAAGGGTAAAGGGGACATGGCAGATGGACACACACACAGCCTACTAGATGGGCTTTCACTGCCAACATCTGGGGCAGTTTAAAAGTCACAGAGAATAATGGAGAAATCACATCAGTGCTGCTTGGGCAGGAAGGGGGCCGGGGTGATGACTAGGAAGGGCCAAAGGAAACTTTTTGTGGTGACACATATGTTCTCTGTCTTGACAGGGTGACAATAACATGGACACATGCATTTGTCAAAAATAGTCAATTGTATACTTAATATCTATACATTTCACTGTGTTTAAACCACACCTCAATTCAAAATATGCTTAGTTTAAAGAAAACAATAGTAATGGATGATAATGAATAAAAGAAGAATCCATGAGTCCATAAAAATACTAAAAAAGAAATAAATGTGGGAAGGGCTCTTCTTTACAGAAAGATGTCAGCTAATAAAAGTAGAAGAAATGACAGAGTTAGGAAAACATCATTTTGTAATCACTAATGTAATATTTCATTCAGCAAAGATCATCCATGGATGCTGAAATCATTGGGTGAAAAGTTCCTGGGGAACAAGGTATATTCACAGTTCTCAAAGCAGCACCTCGAAGATTATCTATTAATTACATGGGAGGGGGTAGGGCCTCAAGTGGGGAGATCTGACAGATACCACATTTAACAAGAGATCAAACTTACCGCTACCAATAGTAGGACAAACAAATTATATTCCTGATTGTGATTTAACGGAAAGGACACAGTATCCCCTATGTAGTTATTCTTCCTAAAATGTTTATCCTGAACCTTATAGCAAGGAAAAATCAGACAACTCCGTATTTGGAACATTCTACAAGACAGTTGATCTGGAGTCTTCAAAACTGTTAATATTATGAAAGGTGGGGGGCAGGGAAACAGTTCTAGATTAAGTGGTTTAGAGACAGGAGAACTAAATACAGTGCATGATCCTTGAATGGATCATGGATTTAAAGAAACAGTCAGAAGGACTTCTTTGAGATTATTAGGAAATTTGAATACATACTATACATTAGATAATATTGTGGTATCAGTGTTAAGTTTCTTTAGTATAGTAATGGTTTTATGGCTAGAAAAGAAATCTTTGTTCTTAAGAGGTACATGCTAAAATATTTAGGAGTGAAGTGTCATGATGTCTGCAATTTATTGTCAAATGGTTCATCAAAACAAAAGATTAAATATACACACACAGAGAGAAAAAAAGCAAATGAAACAAAATGTTAACAACTGGTGAATCTAGGTAAAGAACACATGAATATTAATTCTTTCAAACTTGACCATAGGTTTGAAATATTTCAAAATGAAAAATGGAGGGAAGAAGAAAAGAAAGCCTAAGAGAAATTTAAAAATACTACTACAATATTATAAGTTAAAGTTGAAATGAAAACTACATTTCCCCAGGGTGAGGGCTCTGATTTTTCTTAACCTAACTAGATAGTTTGTGTGTATTGATATGTTAATGATGCTTTGCCTCTAAAATGCCTGGACTTATTTCCCACATATATACCTAAGTCAGACTGGGCTGTGGGGATGGGTGCTGGTGGATGGACAATTTGTTTTTAAAATTTTTTTTTTATCCTCACTCGAGGACATTTTTTTTTTTTTTTTTTTTTTGCATTCATCTTCAGATAGAGTAGGGGAGAGAAAGAGCGGGGGGGAGAGAGAGAGAAACATCGACATGAGAGAGACCCATAGAGCAGTTGCCACCCACACGACCCCAACCAGGGCAGGGACAAACCACAACCGAGGTACGTGCCCTTAGCAGGAACCGAACCTGGGACTCTCCAGTCCGCAGGCCAATGCTCTAACCACTGAGCCAAACCAGCCAGGGCAGATGGACAATTTGTAACCTTGTGATATGCATTCTCACAACCTGGCCAGCCTAGGATCAAAGTGTGTATGTGGACAGATAGGTTCAACTGGAGGGCAGGAAAACAGGCCTTGGGTGCAAAAAAATGCTTTGTTTGCATGTGAATAAGATAAGGTTTGCATGACAAAGAGTTGGAAGACCACTCGTAGGCCCAGGCATGGCTGATTTTGTTATTTTTTAGCTTTAAAGTCTCTTTCCGAGGTAAAAAGCGAGAGACAAGGCTAGGCTGTATGGTTTGCAGAAACACCATCTCAAGAAAATAATTTACATAAATCCACTTGTAACCTGGGGAATCAATCTGCAAATAAATGGGACTGCGTGTAGAGATCTGGAGCACACAAAGATCTGGAGCTTTTGCTCCCTTGTAAAGCTCCCTCTCACTCCAACCAGCGTGTGCTGGTTCACTGCATTGCACCAATCCCAGCAGACTGAGAGACAGCACTGGGCATACTTGAATTGATCAAGGAATTAGAAAGGGAAGGGAAGGAAAGAGAACAAAAGGAGCAGTATGTATGTGTTTCTTCAACTAGACCTTAAGATCTATGGGAAGCCCGGCCAGTGTGGCTCAGTGTATGGTGTCGACCCATGCACCAAGGGGTCACTGGTTCGATTCTCAGTCAGGGCACATGCCCAGGTTGTGGGCCCGATCCCCAGTGGGGGGGCATGCAGGAGGCAGCCAATCGATGTTCTTGCTCATCAATGTTTCTATCTCTCTCCTTCTCCCTTCCTCTCTCTCTAAAATCAATAAAGAAAAAAGAAAAAAAAATCTATGAGAACAGGGACCTTATTTGCTGGCACACAATACACACAAATACTTTGTTAATGAATGAATGGACAAATGAATTCAGAATGTAAGGAGGCTGGAGCAAAGAGCAGCACTGGGGAGGTGGGGGCTAGAATTTTGGTGAGGGGGCAGAGCCAGGACATAGACCAAAGACTGCTGGACAAATCTGACATTGTTGGGTTAGGTGGTAGGCAGCCAGTCCCACTCTGCGGGGTTATCCACACTTCCTTCTACTCCCCTGTACTATACTGTGAGCTCTTGCAGGATGAGAAGTGTACCTTCTCCATCTCTGCATCTCCTGCCACCTAGCACCCTGCCAGGCAGCACAGAGCAGGTGGCTGTTTAAGAAAGCTTTGTTAAAGAATGAACTGCAAGTCCTTGAGTAGGTGGCATTTACTGATCACGCCCTTCCCCATCAAACAGCTTAGTCTTTGTTATAAAAGCTGAAAAGCAAGCTGAGTCTAATGAAGCCAATATTTAACCTTTTTATTTTTGGCTTGACTTGTCGAACTGGTTCCGCTTAGCTGCGCTATTTATTCGGCTGTGAAAGCCACAGCATAGGCAACACTGGATGGCAATCTCAGCAGCTTGAGAAGGCCACGTATTTTTTTCATGTAGACTTCATGCTTGAAAAATAAACAAGCAAATAAGCTTCCAACTAGCATTGTGGTTTTCAATGTGCCTAAAATCATTCCCAACAGCCCCTCCCATCAAGGGACTGGCCAAGGCAAGGGGACAACAAGTAACAGCAACTGATATTCACCAAGTGCAGGCCCTGCACCCCATTCTTCAGAGACACTGTCTCCCTGGACTCTCATAAGACCCCAGTGAACCAATACACCTTCCCCTTTAAGTGATTCACCCAAATCCAGAGCCAAAAAGCGGCAGAACTGAGGTGCATGCATACCTCATTCCAGTGCTCATGCTCTCACCCATTGCTCCTGGCTGCCTCTCAAACGTCTGCAGCAGCGGTTGGCAGACTAAAGCCAATAGGCCACATTCAGCCTGCCAGCCTGCCACCTGTTTTTGTAAATACAATTTTGTTGGAACACGGCCACTCTCATTTGTTTATGTACTGTCTGTGGCTTTT